GAACCCGACCACAAGCACCCAGCCTGGGAGACAAATGAAAAGAACTGGGAGACAAATGAAAAGAAGTGGGAGACAAATGAAAGGAAGTGGGAGACAAGCCAGCCGCGAACCCGACCACAAGCACCGAGCTTGGGAGACAAATGAAAAGAAGTGGGAGACAAATAAAAGGAAGTGGGAGACAAGCCGGCCGGGAACCCGACCAGACCATCCAGCACCAAGGCGACCATTCTTTAAAGCATTGAGAACCCCTAACAGTAAACTGTTTGGGGAAAAATATCCAGGAACCAAATGAACAGTGCGAGCGCTTCTTCAAGGAAGCTCGCCCAACCCTCAGGCAGAAAGAGCTTCCTTGAAGAAGCATGAGCTATCCTGCGTCCGAGGTAGTAGCTACTTAAGCTACTAGGTAGTTACCTAGCTACTACCTCCTGCCTCCTCTACCCCCTAGGAGCAAGGACGCTACTAGGGGCCTGGCCTTATTACTAGGAGCAAGGACGCCACTAGGGGAGCAAGGACGCTACTAGGGGCAAAGGGCACCACTAGCAGGAACAGGCCTTACTACTACGAGCAAGGACGCTACTAGTGGCAAAGGGCATCGCTAGCAGGAACAAGAAGCTACTAGGGGCTCCTGGCCTTACTACTAAGAGCAAGGACGCTACTAAGGGCTCCTTGCCTTAAGGACGCTACTAGGGGCTCCTGGCCTTGCTACTAGGAGCAAGGACGCTACAAGGGGCTCCTGGCCTTACTACTAGAGCAAGTAGGGGCTCCTGGCCTTACTACTAGGAGCAAGGACGCTACTAGGGGCAAAGGGCATCGCTAGCAGGACCAAGAAGATACTAGGGGCTCCTGGCCTTACTACTAGGAGCAAGGACGCAACTAGGGGCTTGTGGCGTTAGGAACAAGGAGGCTACTAGGGGCTCCTGGCCCAAGGACGCTACTAGAAGCCCTGGCCTTACTACTAGGAGCAAGGACGCTGCTAGAGGCTCCTGGCCTTACTACTAGGAACAAGAAGCTACCAGGGGCTCACGTTACTAGGGGCTCCTCGCCTTACTACTAGGAGCAAGGACGCTACTAGGAGCAAGGACACTACTAGGGGCTCCTGGCCTTACTACTAGAAGCAAGGACGCTACTTGCGGCTCCTGGCCTTACTACTAGGAGCAAGAAGCTACTAGGGGCTCCTGGCCTTACTACTAGGAGCAAGGACGCTACTAGGTTCTCCTAGCCTTACTACTAGGAGCAAGGACGCTACTAGGGGCTCCTGGCCTTGCTATAGGAGCAAGGACGCTACAAGGGGCTCCTGGCCTTACTACTGGAGCAAGTAGGGGCTCCTGACCTTACTACAAGGAGCAAGGACGCTACTAGGGGCAAAGGGCATCGCTAGCAGGACCAAGAAGATACTAGGGGCTCCTGGCCTTACTACTAGGAGCAAGGACGCTACTAGGGGCTTGTGGCGTTACTACTAGGAACAAGAAGGCTACTAGAGGCTCCTGGCCCAAGGACGCTACTAGAAGCCCTGGCCTTACTACTAGGAGCAAGGGGCAAAGGGCATCGCTAGTAGGAACAAGAAGCTACTAGGGGCTCCTGGCCTTACTACTAGGAGCAAGGACGGGGCAAAGGGCATCGCTAGCAGGAACAAGAAGCTACTAGGGGCTCTTGGCCTTACTACTAGGAGCAAGGACGCTACTAGGGGCAAAGGGCATCGCTAGTAGGAACAAGAAGCGTGGCACTTGTTACTACTAGCTTCTTGTTACTGGCACCTGTATCTTGTAGTCTTTGTTTGTCTTTGTAGTTTTGCCTCGTTTACGGCGCCGAGGGAGCCGTCGGCCGCGGTCGAGACGAGGTGGGGCACTCACCTTAGTTGGTGTCAATCCATGAGCCCTCGCTTCAACTCTCCAGCTGCACCCGATTCTCTGTAATCTTTCCTTAGAATCTCCTTGGGTCATTGTATGTATATAAAGATATGTTCTTTTTCTCCTTCTTCCTGTGTTCTTTTCTATCTTACAGTTGGTCCTTTTGTGGATCTTTAGACCAGTATGGTGTGGGCTTTGCCACAGAAAGCTGCCCTTACCACTCCTCTCCGTTGTCTTAAAGGCAGGAGATGCATGAGGTAATGGACTTCACTGCGCCTTACTAAAGCAAAGAAAGGAAGAAAAGAAACAAAAAGCAAAACAAAGGATACCCCAGGAGGTTCCAGGAATTGAGGAGAATCAGGTACCGCGTGAAGATGTTCAAAGCCAGCCTGCGCTCCCATTATTCAATAAAACTTGAGCAAGTCAACTTGCAGAGGCACAACGATGTTATATAAGAATGAAGTGCATAAAGAGAAACAGCAAAAACATGTCTGCATACAGGTCAGAAACGTCTATATATATATATAAACAAGAGAGAAACAACAGAGAAAAAAACGGAAAGGTGTACTTAAAGCTTGTAGACGCACTAGCAAGAGCGTCTGCCAGCGCGCCGTTTTCACCTAAGGCGCAGCACGAAATGGCTTCAGGCCTTGATCCAAGCGAACATGAACAACCATGTTCCTCCGCATGCCCAACACCGAAGAGCAAACTCAACTTTCACAGTTCATCCCCTTCTCTTGTGGCATTTGAGGGGTTGGGCAACGGCTGAACACGGTCACGAGCAAAGCAACAGGCTCCTCAAGCATCGATCGAGGATTCTGGAGCTCTCGCATGTCGACAGAGTCTTCCAACTGTCGCCAAATCACACTATGTTCGCTGTCAAAGCGGGCAAAAGTGGAACGAAACGCATGTGTCGTTCTTGAACAGCGTGGCTCTGGGGTCCTGTACGAACGAGCCTGGCGGCACACGTTGACGGCCAAATCTTCATTCAAAACATGCCAACCTGAGCTCTGTGAGAGCTTCATCACATGGCCAAACAACGGGGAGGAGCTTTCAAAAGGGACTCCCATGTCACTTCTCACCAACCTTCCGGTCTGTTGTGAGTTAGCCATGGGCTTCTTACTTTTGGACGTCTGTTTGACGTACTGGGAGGAAAACTGTACACACCACTTGCAATCTCTCAGGATCTTGTGAAGGTGCTGAGGGTCAAGCTCCTTAGTGCCGCAGTCTACGATCATGTTCTCTGTTGCTGTCCAACGCATGCTCGTGTTGCATCGAGCCAGCATTGAACGAATCCAGCTTATGGTGAAAGCTAAACTCTTTTGGCTGCCATAGCTCGGCGTTTCTGAGCAGGATTTGTCGAATGCATCCTTGGCGTCAGTGACAACCAACAGAGGCACGGAATCCGTGCTAAGGTCAAAGGGCTTCCGGTCGAGTGGATGACCGAAAGCTTCGCCAAGCACGCCGCGGCAATATTGCCCGGCATCCAGCGCCTCCTCAATGCCCAGCAACTCTGCGGCAAATGTCGATCTGCATACCCGGTTCAGTCGATGAGACCGGGCGTCCAACACTGTGAACTTGCCTTCTCTGCCGCTCGTGAGGTTTTCGTCAGCAATGAGGACAAAGTAGGCGGCTTGACTATAGACCTTCTTGATGGCCGCTTCGTGGGAACTACCGCTTTTCGTCACATTGCCAAGCGAGGCATCAGAAACAACGAGGATCCCAGCATTCTTCATGTCCAAGGGCTTGAAGTGCAGAGCGAAGTCTGCGTGGAGCTTTGCCTTTCTAACTAAGGCGTTGGCGCGGATCAACGTCTCGATGGTCTGGGAAGCACCCTGCAATGTCGACAACTGAAATTGCAAGTCAAAGCGAACTTGCGCTACCAGCCACTGCAAACTCCCGAGGAGAGCTCTGAGCTGGCGTTGTTCCCCAGGCATCAAAGTGGCTTCTGGATTCTTCTTTCGAAGTGGGTTGATGCGCACCTGCTGAAGATTGCTATGGTACTCTTCCATGGAAACTTTCACTGAAAAATCTTCAGCTTGCTCAATCTTCTTTCCACAATAGGTTATGGTTCCGGTGGAGGTGGAACCAAACCCAAGTTCGGCACCCAGCAATTGCAAGGTGTGGTGCGCACAAGGGCCTCCGGCCAGCAGCAAGTCATCCACGTGGGAGATGAGGATGCCTTCCAGTTTGGAGCCTTCCCACAGGAACCACATGGCCGAATCCAGAGCTGAAAGTTGCCAACCATGGTGTTGTACTGACTTGCATAACCTCTTATACCAACGACGAGGGCTGTCAGCTAAGCCAAATACTCCCTTTTTCACACGGCATAAGCCTGCTTCCGAGAATGGTAAGCGTGGCTCATCAGGTGCTCTGGTCTTCACGTTGGCGAGGTAGAGGATGCGTTCATTGGGGCCAAACTCTTCACCTTTCATGAATGCCGACTTGATGTCAGCACTTGCCAGCTTCCACTTCATACTGGCGGCAAAGGTCAGCAAAAGATGCTGAGAAGTTCTCGACGCTGTTGGAGCATCACAACGAAGGCCATATGCACTAATGTCTTGGTATCCGGGGACGACCAGCCTGGCGTTAGCCTTGAGTGGAAGGTCCCGGTCTGCCGTCCTCAGTCCGTCGTTCTTGTCCACATAGACGAAGCGAGGAACCAAGATGCGGTGGCTTTCACCTTCTGTCTTCAACTTCTGCCTAATGCGGGCAGCTTCGGCATCTGGAAGAGGTTCGATGGCCTCATTTTCAACCCATACGGACCATCCTTTGGCTGCTGCTTCACGGAACTCCTTTTTCTCAAAGTCCGACATGTGACTCCATACATGCTCCTTACGAGCAGTGAGCACTGCAAGCACTTCCTGAGCAGCATCGTCATTGCCAAGGGGCCAAAGTTGCTTCAGCATTTGCCGTCGTTTGAATTCTGTCCTCGAGGGGAGAGGCCAATTGCCACGCCATGTCCCATGGTCTCGGACTCTGGCTTCCAAGGGATTCAGACGATCCTGTTCCGCCATGATCTGGATCTGACGGAGCGGATGCACATTGGCATATGCTTCCATTTCCATCACTTCATGAGTCACTCTCAGGGCTTCTGAAGCTTCATCAGGAACTTCATCTGGAGGTTGAGCCGGAGTTGGAGCAACAGGGTCTGGTTGAAGAGCTTCTTCACGCAAGCGCTCAGCATCCAGTTCAGCAGGCCTCTTGGAAGCTTGTGACTCGCCGCTAGCACTTGGGGCGGCACTGGAAACGCTCTGCCGTCTCTGTTCAAAGGCAGCTCGTACAGCTTCAGGAAATGGAGACGTACCTAAGTCTGGCAAAGAAGAAGTATGCCGAGACCATCCTCTTGAGATAGGACCACCTTGAGCATTGCCGAGGGCTTGCACAAACTCTTGAGGATGTAAAGGTGGTAGATCGGCAGGAGCTTCTTCAGGTACGGCCGAAAGAGGAACAGGTTCAACAGGTAGAGACACTCCCGTCATCGGTCCACCCTGTGCTTTGGGTTCAGCCGAGGTGGTTGTAGATGAGGAGGTCGTTGGTATCTGTCGATCATGGTATGCCGCATCGATGACTTCCTGAATGGCATCTTGCCATACCTCACTCGCAACTTGTTCCAGGGAGCTGGCTGGTCTCAAATGCTCAATAGCGCACTTGGTCAGTTGTCCTCTGAAACTCACATATCCATTCACATTGCCCTCCAAAGCGACGAGGAGGGCAGGGCCATGCCATCGCTTGAGACTGAGCCGTTTCTTGGATGCAGCTGTTCGGTTGTTGAACCGAGTTTGCCTGAAGAAGTAGACGATATCTCCAGGAGATAGGCCATGCTCTGCCGTCGGTCCTCGAGAGCGGGCTAGTTCAGCTCGTCGAAGGCCTTTGGAAAAATGAAGGCGCACCATCGCCAACCGAGCAGTCTCTCGCATGGCAACTTGTCTGGCCAAACTCGGCCGGGAGTCGATGAGTCCATGCTCACTCAAGCGGCGACCAAAATCACCAAGGCAATCTCCGTGCATCCGGGGTTGCTTTCCAAAGGCAGCTTGCATAGGAGAGACACCAGCGTCGTTGATGTCCGAGTTGTAGGCGCTTACTGCCTCCTGGAGACAAAGTTCAACATCATCTTTTCCCAAGGCCGAATGAGCCTTGATGCACGAACCAAGAATGCCCTTTAGGATAGCGCCACCGCGCTCACATACACCATTCTGCCAAGGGGCTTGGACCGCGGTGTGGTGGAGGTAGATGCTCCATGAACTGCAGAACTCTTCAAACTCAGCAGACACGAACTCTTTGCCCTGATCTGCTATCAGGACTCTTGGTGCTCCCAAGATGGGTAGCCACCTGGTCTTGAAGAAGCGCTCCACCATGCTCGAACCTTTTGTTTCCAAAACTTCAGCAAACTGCAGCCTGGAGACATAGTCAATGGCATGGATCACATAGAAGCGCTTTTCGCCAATGTCTTCAATCTCAAAGAGGTCCACATGGACCTGGTCGCCCACATCCTTGGGTAGTGGCAAGGTAGCAGGCCGTCGGGCCTTTGGGATCTTCCGCTCGTCGCAAATTGAGCATTTGAGGTGACGAGCAGCATGGATGATGTCCGGAGGGGCGCCAGTGATAGCCAGTGCTCTGGCTAGGCGACGGCCAGATCGGTGGCCCGTGTTTTCATGTAGGCGTCGAAGAGCTTGCTTCACAGCAGCTGACACCTTGGGTCCAGTGACAGCTTCAGTGGACTCCTGATCAGAGTCACTCAGGTTCATGTCAATCGGCAGGGCGGTCTCATCTTCAGCCTCCTCGCCGCCTTCGATGGCAAGGGTGTTGTGTGGTCTTTTGAAGTCAGCTTCAAATTGCTTTTCCATTCCAACCACCAGGGCCTTGGCGAGGGCCCACGGATAGTGGCCAGCGGGCTCTGAAACAGCTTTTCCCCCAATGATGTGACCATGAGGGTGATTGCCAAGACACTTCATGCCGTCCAGTTGGGAAAGGATCTCATCACTCGAAGTGGCTATCCTCGT